AGGTTCAAATTAGTATGATAGCGTTTCGAATTACAGTCACTATCCGGGTTATTCTTTATTATGCGATAATGGAAACGGAACGTTTACTGGAGTTGCAAAAGCTGCATTCCAAAAGTTAAGCAGCGTACTAGGAAACAAGAAAGGAATGAGTGCTGAACTTTTATCTAATATCAATTCTCCTATATGATATTAGACAGCTTGCTTACAGATAAAAATATAAGAGGCAACAGAAATGTGATCTACAGAAGAATACCGGGAATAACATAAACAGTGTTATGAATAATCAAGAGTGGTCTACCTTGTCTTGTTACTCTCGTCTTTGAGAGAGCTATTTCTGTTTACTGGGACTATAAAAGGACATTATACGCGAACTTTGTATTCTCAGTTGAATAAAACTTTCTTAAAGTCTACACATGTGTACTTTTGTCATTCATTAGCAATGAAGACGTTAGGAGGGAAACCGAAAAAAAAAGAAGCTTATATTCAAAAAAGCTATAGCTGACATTTCTGGGATGCATAATAGAGGAGGAGGATAAGACGTATCGAACTGAAGAGGGATAGAGGAAAGCCACGGGCCACACATTTCACGTGTGAATTGATGGCGGAACGGGGTATGGACGATGACTAATGGATGAAAATATCTAAGAACTGCAATAGATTGGAGGTGGTGGAGAGTCATTAATCATTCGAGGATCTTAAATAAACAAATCCTTTACGGGACCAAAACACCGCGTGTAATTCACACTGTTAAAAAGTAAAAAAGAGCTTGTAGTCAAACGCATTTATGTATTAAAATATAACGGCAAAAAGTAAAATCCATTTATTTCATATATATATGTGTGTGTGTGTATGTGTATATATATATATATATATATATATATATATATATATATATGTGTGTGTGTGTGTGTGTGTGTGTGTGTGTGTGTGTGTGTGTGTGTGTCCAAGAAAGAGAACTGTGTCATTACCACACAAAAAGAGAATGTTTAACATCAAAATCATAAGGAAAATTAAAATAATTTAATAATATGTGGAAATATCTACTCTTTGCCTGAAGAAGGTCGCGAGACCCAAAACCAGTGTTGCAAAGTTATGGAAAATAAGGCATATATATATATATATATATTTTAAAAACATCCACATTACAACGAAAAACGTTTGCCCTCTTTTTTTTTTTTATATATATATATATATATATATATATATATATATATATATATATATATATATATTTATGAAATATGGTGCAGTTTAATTTATATTACGATGAATCATTCATACAAAAGTAGATTAGTAAAGCGAATGATATAAAATGGCGAAATCCTTTTCGCAAACAAAATTTTAAAGTTGCATTAACCTACGAACCACTCAATGAATGTTATGATTCTTGTTTTTTAATAACTTCAAGTTGTATAAGGTCATTTTTTTTAATCTGCAAGTACTTTCAACTCTACATTCAGTCATCCTCAGGCATGGAAATTATTTTGATTTTAGTAAAATTCAGGTAGAGTCAGAGACGAAAAAATTAAATGCGAATCGAAATATTTTTTTTTAGAAAGGTGTTATTGTTAACGGTTACAAACTTTTGAAGCGTGCAGTCGCATCGGTAAATTTGAATTTTTTTGAAAATTTAAGAGTGCGCGTTTTTTACTAATAAGGTAATTTTGAGAATTCTTTTGTTGTAGGAGTTATATATATATATATATATATATATATATATATATATATATATATATATATAAAGATAGAGAGAGAATATGGTATATTATTAAAATTATAGAATATATATAATTGTATATGAGTTTTATTAGGATACTAGCAGTAGAGCCCGGTATCGACCATCATAAAGTCTGAAAAATAAAATTGAAAAAGATTATTTAATGTTGACGGACATGCATGTCTTAATTAGTTTTTTTTTTTTTTGTTTTTTACGAATTGGTCAAAACCAAACTCAAACAAAAACATTGTTTTCAATCGTTATGAGTCTACCAATTGAATAGAATTTTATTATAAACAATTGTCTTGTAAATGGAATTTTTAAAGCATTCTGAATGTAAAAATAAAGAAAAATGTGTGCAAGACAATAAGAAACACTACCTGCCAAAAAAGTGAGGTTTTTTTTAAATCGGTTGAAAAATGTAGGAAATCCAATCCCATATATAAACGAACACACACACACACACACAAACAACCTGGGTTTTATAATAAGTATAACTCGACATGAGTTGCCCCTTTTTCATTCTGGCGACAGAATCGTGTTTTATTGTGTTTTCAAATTGATTTTTTGCAAAAACAATTGTGTTTTTCTAATTTTTGGCGCTGTCAGAACCACCGAAAGGTAATTTTACGTAGTCCTCTGAAGTTTTGTTGAAATCAGTTGAAAAATGTAGGAAATCCGATCCAATATATAAACGTACACACACACACACACAAACACACACACACACATTCTGCATTTTATAATAAATAAGATAGAATCCGAACAAAAGTGGAGAAATGAGATAAAGAACAAACCTAACACACAAAGGCGAAACCCGTTGCTATTACTATTATTCCACTTTGTCGCATTTCGCTAATAATTGTATATATGTTATACAGGGTGCGGCAGAAATACGTCTCATATTTACCTCCTAGAAATGCCTCCAGCGTAATGGTACTCTAGGGTAGAAATAGAAATGTCCCATTAGATAATGGAGAACTTCCACAGCCAGACACTGGAAAGCACAAGTTACCTTATATAAACAGCTGAGTGGTCAGGGTTAGGGATATTTTTGTTTGCTTTGTTTTGTACCATGTCAAATTCAATGGATTATTTAATACCGACAATATTTTTATTGTTGATAAATATATTTTTAAATGTATTGCTGATAATATTTTTTTTATTAAAAATGTATTACTGGTAATAATATTTTATTCCAAATATATTGATATTAATAATTTTTTCAAAAATTTATTGCTGGTAAATTTTAAAAAAAAAATGTTTTGCTGGTGATATTTTTCCAAAAAAATGTACCGATATTATTAAAACCTATTTTTACACATTCATAGAGTTTTGACCCCAGATTGGCATTTAACTATTTTCCCATAGCTGGGACCCTAACAGATGCTACCACCCTGGGTCACGGTGTACTTGGGAACAGCAGCAATTAAGAGGTGGTTCCACACACCTCAAAACCTTCTGATCAGAGGCCATGCTGTCGGATGTAGTTTATCGTCATACCCAGGACACGGGTGCAGTTTATTGTCATACCCGAGACGCGGTATTTCTGTATTTATATTTCGGTGGTACGATAATAATGTAATTCAAATTTACTTCAACCATTGTTTTTGTGGTTATTTTACAGGTATGTCATTAGCTAGATAAAGAGACGAGTACCAATAATGTCTTCTCATTTTATGAGAGGTATTTCTGGGTGGTATGTGAAGGAGGTATTCCCGTCGCACTCAGTATATCTTCCATAATTAAATGTATTGTGTGTTAATAAACATGTATACATGATAAATAAGTATTTTGTGTTAACGCACAAACAAGCACACACTCCACACACACACACACACACACACATATATATATATATAATATATATATATATATATATATATATATATATATATATATATATATATATATATATATATATATAAATAATGTATATATATATATATATATATATATTATAATTTTTAGTTTTAGTGAATACTCGTATCTGAGTAGATATTCCGTTTATTTATTATAGACAGTATTTATTTATTTTCGCCTACCGGCCTGAATATTAGAGAATTTTCATTAGAGAAAAATATGCGCTCTCCAGCAGGATTCGAACGTGCGTTTCCCTAGGAGAGATAACATTTTTCTCTAATAAGATTTTTCGAATATTCAGGCTTTAACGTTTAAGTAATAAAAATCTATCGGATTACTAAATAAAATTAAATGTATATATATGTGTATATATATATATATATATATATATATATATATATATATATATATATATATATATATATATATATATATATATATATATATATATATATGTGTGTGTGTGTGTGTGTGTGTGAAATTACCTGTTCACTAACACTGACTGGGTGAATGTGTCTCGCGCTGGCGTTTGCCAATTTATTCGTCCTTCGATAGAGATAAGTGGGTCTACGGTCAACCAAAGACAAGCGAATATAGGCAAAAGTTTTGAGGCTATTAGCGTTATCGACTAAATCAAGTGGCTAGTCGATTTCCCTGATACTCGGTCGTCCATTATTGGCCTATAGTAAAGAGTGTGCCACAAGAGGCACGGGTTCGCTTCACCGAAGATGTATTGAGAGCGCGTTTTCTGCACTGCTCTAATGATTTAGCGGTGGAAGTCGGGGCGTAGCGCTGGGATTTGCTTTATTCGAGAACTAATTACCTATTGAACAAAGAAAGGAAAACTATTGGTAATAGCGGGAGCTGTTAGGGAATGGACGGCTTGAGTTGGCTGCAACGTGTCTAAGAAAGCACGAAAATAAGAGAGAATAAAATGAGAGCGTGAGAAAGACGATGAAAGGCAATCGGAGATCAGCAAAGGAGGGAAGAAAAGAGAAAAGAAACGAGGGAAAAGAAATACAGTAAATTGGAAGAATGAAAAAAGAAGAGAGAGAAAAGCAAGAAGAAAAGATAAGAAAGGAAATCAAGGAAAAAGAAAGGAAGGATGAATTAAAATGTTAAGATTACAGTAAGAGAAATAAAGAGAGTAATAAATAAGGACACAAAGGAAAACGGAAAAAAAGAAGAAAAATAAATGAAAAAAGTAGGAAAAAAGAGAAAAAAACACCAATAATAGTAATTAAAAATAATAATAGTAGTAGTAGTAATAATAATAATAATAATCAGAAGAAGAAGAAGAAGAATGAAAAAATGAAGGAAAAGCAAAAGAAGAAGCGGTGACCAGACAGAAAGAACAATTAGTTGTAGAAAAGAAAAAGATAAAAAGTATAAAATAATTAATACAATAAGAATTCTTATTTTAGACTAAATTCAATATCTGAAAAATTGTAGCGAAGAAGAAGAACTGGAAAGATGTAAAAAGAAGTACCATGGAAAACAAAGAAGTAGAAGAAGAAAAAGTTGGAGGATAGAAAGAAGAAGAAGAAGAAGAAGAAGAAGAAGAAGAAGAAGAAGAAGAAGAAGAAGAAGAAGAAACGGAAATATGGAAAAAAAGCTCCCATGAAAAAGTAAGGAAGAAAGTAGTAGAACAAGGAGAATAATTAGGAAGAAGAAGAAGGAGGAGGAGGGGGAGGAAGAAGAAGAAGAAGAAGAAGAAGAAGAAGAAGAAGAAGAAGAAGAAACGGAAATATGAAAATAGAGGTCCCATGGAAAAGTAAGTAAGAAAGAAAGCAAGGAGGAGGAAGAGGGAAGAAGAAGAAGAAGAAGAAAAGGACCCATGGAAAAGGAAGAAAGAAGTAGAACGAACAGAAGAAGAAAAAAGAGGAGGGGATGGGGAAGAAGAAGAAGAAGAAGAAGAAGAAGAAGAAGAAGAAGAAGAATGGATTATGCAAAATAAACCAAAACCACAAGAGTATAGAAACGAATCTATAGGTAAGGGGGGGGGGTTAGAGAGTGATTCAGTATGAATGACAAAGGTGGCTAAAAAGTAAATGGGGAGGTTAAGTACACGAGAAAACCTCAGTATTAGAAGGGATAGACGGATGAATATAGAAAGAGGAAGGAAGGAAGGAAGGAAGGAAGGAAGGAAGGAAGAACAAAGAAGATGTAAATCGATGAAGAGCGGAAAACTTCGAGAAGAGGCGTATTATGAAGAATTGCCAGCGGCTAGAAAGCGAGCAATACATAATTGTGGTGACCGGAAAGAATTGGCTGAGAAAATAACAAGCACTTCTTGGAAACGTAAGAACGATTGGACGATGTAAAAACAGGCACGCTTATCTGACGGGTCTGTCATGTAAAGTTGAATACTTCAAGGTACTCAGAATGTCGAGCAAATGAATCATTATTAATACGCATAGCAAATGATATATATATATATATATATATATATATATATATATATATATATATATATATATATATATATATATATGTATGTATGTATGTGTGCGCGTAGAAAAGAGGAGGAAGTAGGTGTGTGTGTTATATCAAGACAGAAGAACACTAATTATACCAATATATATATATATAGAAATTATGATACTTAGTAATATTCGTATCGACATATCTCTCTAGACGCAGGTGCAATCCCTCCAATATAAACGTATTTATCATGTAAGACAATTGTATCGACATGCGTAAATCGAAAGGATTTTTTATTTTTGCTGGGGGTAGGGGGATAAAGTTCTGACCTTCTGAAAGTTTTATAAAAGCGTGTAATTCGTTCCAATGCGTACTGAATTGCATACGTAGATTTACATACCTCTAAAGACAGAGAAAAAGAAAGGTAAACGCATAAAGAGAGTAACATGAAGATGCAAAATAATACGGAAAAAGAAATCAAGATTTAGCTTGATGGAAAGATGGACAGACATCGAAATGAATGAGAATGCTAAATTAAGAAATAGAAATATAGCTTTATTTAACATTTGTTCGAACTCATAAAACAAAGACCATTCCTAAGGTGATTTCTGTTTCTACGTCAGTATTTCTCAAAGAGGAGTTATTTTTATTTACTTATTTAGTTTTGCATCAGCTAAATTTAAGTCTTGGACTTCAGTGTTCTAAACTCGGCCTACTTTTACCTTCTAATCTTGTTCAGTTTATAATCTGCAGTAGTTGAAGTCGAACATATTCCCAGCGAAAGGTCATTGCTTCATACAAATATTTTGGTCCATATTTTCATATTTGTATATGTTCTTTTTTTTTTTTTTCTAAAGATTTCCACCGGCGGGAAAATGCCGATGTCAGTCTTTCTCTTTCTCATCTATATAATACTATCGTTTTTATTTTCTTAATTTTTTTTTTTTTTTTGACTATGTACAGCGAAAAAAAGCAAGCTAATTTGAATGAAGCATTGGAAGAGAAAAAAAAAATGCCGTAATTGCCCTCGCATAAGATGCGTTTATTTTTATTTTTAAATGCACCAGAAAACTGCTTTGCGCCTAAAACAGCTGAATTACGGATGGGAGACGACCCAGTGCTGTACCGATAGGTTAAGATGACGGATGAACCCGAGTCCGCTCGTAATAAAGATTGCTACTTGTAATAAAATATTGTAAAAAAGCCAAATTATTAGTCGATTATGTTACGACTATTAAAATATTTATGGTAGTCTGTGGTATTTGCTGAAATAACCATTTTCTGTTAGAATGATTTTTTTTTTATACTACGGGTAATATTCCGTGAAATATTTTGCTTTGTCTGCATTTACCGTAATTATTTAAGAATTCATTCTCATTTATTGTACTTTACTGAAAATTTATATCAGTTTGCATTGTTTATATGTAGCAGTGAGGCAGGTTGATTTTTCCTTTTTTAGACAATCATCGTTGCGCTCAGAAAACTGGAGTTTGATATCATAAGTACTGACACCGAGAATTAGATTAATAATTTTTACCAATTTTTGATCATTTAGTTTTAAATATCGTCTGAAAAAAAATGTACAGAAATAACTAATTTTCGCAGGAATTTTCTTACAAACTGACTTCAAAATTTTACTATTTCAGTAATAAATCCAAATAAAATTAATATATTTTGTATTAGATATATTGAATAGAGAATATATGCTAACCAGAATTCTAATTATGAATCCTCACAAGCAAAATAGACATTATTTTATTGTATTCGATAAGTAAAAACGGTAAAAGAATTATAAATGATTACAAAAAAGGCTGATCAATGAATCAGATTTGTTTGATCCTTTGTTAGATAATAATTAAAAGCAACAAAAAAATGTATAAGAGTGTCTATAACACTATACTACTACTGGGTGAAAAGTATAAGACAAAATGTGTTAAATTTACATTGTTTATTGAAAATCATACTAAAACTACTGCATTGTATAAAATATTACATCATAATATAGCTAAATTGTTCAGTAAAGTTTCATTTTGAAGTAAGTAAAGGTAAATATGTAATAATGTGCTTTTGCAAGGTATCTTGTCCATATACAATTTGTAAATATTCAGCAAATTATAAATTGTATAAGGCTGTGCTATAAGTATTTCATTGATCACCGGAATTAAATTCCAAAGCTACGATTTTGAACATAAAGTTAAAATTTAAACTCATTTCCTCAAAAAACGATAACGATTTGGGGAAAAAAATTGTCCTTATTTAGCATGTCAAACCCTCAACTTTCAAATTGAATGCAATACCATAGTTCCAAAATGAACCTACCCCAATGTACCAGTACTTACTGATAAAAATGTACCGGTATTTCTTTTCTAATTTAGATTATTTTCAATGTTAAAGTTTCAATACATGATTTCATACTTTATTCCATTCGACTGTTGTATTGTATTTGCAGGCACAAAATCATACATTTCCCCCTATAAAACCCCTTCAAAATATATTTCCATAAATATATGGTGACACATATTAAAATATTTTCCACAAAATATTGTTGTAAAATAGAGACTGCGTACTATGTGAAGGCAAATTCTTTATTTGAAAAAAAAGTCATTGGTGACAAGGCCATTCTTTTGTTGCAAATGAGACGTAGCAGCCGACCATAGAACTGGAATGGGAAGTACTTTCGTCTGCTCAAGACTCTCCAGAATTGTTCCTTTCAGACAATCACTTTTTTCTTTTCTTTTTTTAAGAATACATTGAATCGAATACAAAATTCTTGTTCTATCTGTGTGTATCCAATTTAAGTGAATAATAACGGAAGTTCATAGTAAACCCGGAAAAATTATAATTAATTTGGAAATTATTCGATTTTGGATGTAATTCGTTTAGTTAGGCTTTACATTTGTTCCCATTTAAAAAATGTAATTGTTATTTAATATTTCTAATGTAATTGTTATTTAATATTTCTATTCATTCAGAGTATGGTCATTGGTGATGACCCTCCACTGCCCGGTATACGGATCTCTTGAACCCATGATCTGTTCTAGATATGAGTACATCTAGGAAGGCGAGATTGTTGTATTCTCGCTCCACTGTGAACTGTATCGATGGTCTTATTGAGTTCACATGGTTCAGTAGTAGCGGGACCTCTTCTTCGTGTGGCCAGAGTATGAAGTTGAAAGATCAGAAGGTGACACACAAGGCCCATCACAAACCAGTAAAGGCAGTGGAAAAATTAAGTCCATGTGTGTTGTGTTTTGGTACAATTATCTATATATGCTTGCCAGTGGTGCATTATGCGGAGGTTTATTGTATTATTCTAACAGGTGGGCAGTAACGGTTATGGTTCAAATTATTCTAGAGACTACGGAGTAGAAATAATTGTGGGCCCGAATGCAGTTTTGTGGCTATTTTGTAGTGGTGTTTAACATTTTTTTTGTCATTATTTATTATTGACTAGCAGTAGAGCCCGGCGTTGCCCGGGGACGTAACAGTAAGAGATAGATCACGTATCAACCATCATAAAGACTGAAAATAAAATTGACACAGATTATTGTTTAAGGTTGACGAACACACGTCTTAATTAGTTTTTTTTGTTTTGTTTTTTTTTTGTTTTTTTTTTACGAATTGGTCAAACCCAAACTCAAACAAAAACATTGTTTTCAATCGTGATGAGTCTACCGATTGAATAAAATTTTATTATAAACAATTGCCTTGTAAATGGAATTTTTAAAGCATTCTGAATGTAAAAATAAAGAAAAAAGTGTGCAAGACAATAAGAAACATTCAATAATTACAGTAATATCACACTTATTATTTTTTGTATGAATGATTCATAAATTTATAAATAATATTTGCACCTTTTAATTGAAATTAAAATAACTGATCCAACGTGCAACTCTCGGATAATAAGTGTGATATTACTGTAATTATTGAACAATATAGTTCATGCCATATTTACGGAAAATCTACCAGTAAAAAAGAATTCTCTTATTGCTATATTTGTACAAAAACGCAGAACCTTAAAATTTAAATTCAAACTCAGCGTTGCGACCGCACGTTCCCAAAAAATAACACATTTCTCATAGCATTTTTTTTGGATTACATCTCTATTTTCGTTGTTCTCTTGTTACTGAGAAGTACAAACAAGAACAAAATCTACTTTCATACCTGATGATGTCTGTAGGAACAGACGAAAGCTTGTAAAAATTAAATGACCATATGCAACTGGAATTTATAAACGGGGATCATATCATTCATATACAGGTTCGGGGTTAATGTATCTTATTTATATTGTTTGCGACGAAGTATTCTCGCCATTTAAATCATTAACCTCTATATTTGTTTTTTGTATGAATGATTCATGAATTTATAAATTATATTTGCACTTTTAATTGAAAATATATATATATATATATATATATATATATATATATATATAAATATATATATATATATACTAAAACAATTGGTAAATACTAATATATCTACAACAGATTCTAGCAAAAAAAATTAATTTAATCATATACTACACTAAATCTAGTATATTCAACTTAATCATTCGCAACGATTCTTGCCCGCCTGTTAGCGATTTGCAGACAACCAACATAGTTTACAAATTCAAATGTCTTTGGAAGATTGTATCTCCAACGGATTAAATAATATTTATGTCGGTCACACCACAAACTCGTTTCCCGACGCTTAACTCTACATTAAGAATGACACTTCCAACATTTTTAGGCATTTAAAGCAATATGTCTAGCCACATACACAATTCCGGAAAATCCTTGTTGAAAATACAACTATACTTAACCATAAAAACAATAAAAAAATCTAAAAATTCTTGAAGCTATTTGCATAAAACAGTTGAAAGCTAACCTGAACAAAATAAACTATGAAAACTTCACAAATATACTTAAATGATTATAGTTGATAGCA